GAATTTCGGGCTTAACCACTATACCTCGGTTCTATACAAATACGATTTTTCGCTTTAATCTGTGTTTTCTGTTTCAGATATCACCGGGGACGATGATTGTGGTGCAAGGGGGAGTAGATGGCAAGAAAATTTGGAAGAAAAATGAAGATTTGAGAAAATATGAAAATTAATTAAAATTACGTTATCTAAAATACAAATATTGTGTTTTAAAACTAGAAATTGGCTAAAATATGCCTGAAATTACTTATAATATAATAGAATCAATTAAAACCTAAAAGTTAAGACCTAAATTATTAATGTGGGACGCGAATTAACAAAGATATTGAAATTTTATGTTATGGTTAGGTTAGGTTAGGTTTTTTTTTTAAATGTATGTATTGCTGTTTCCCTCTGACATGGAGGTCAGAGACATTGTCAGCTTGACACGGACTTTAAATTCTTGTTTTTTATTTATTTCTTTGTCCTTAGTATTATAGAGGGTGTAGATAACTCTGGGTTTTCGATCGGGAGTCCTACTACTCTTAATCTAATACATGTAATAGCATCATATCTCTTACTTATTAATACCTATATATAACGCTGAAAGAGATCAGGGACGTTTTCTCTTTTTACTTAGATTTATATATCTTACATTCGGTTCTTTTTCTTATTTTACTTATGCCTAATCTTATTATTACGTGAGTACTTGTTGCTATATCTTAATCTACTTTTTAACTAATTTCGCGGAGCTGTTTACTTTATATACTTAAATATAAGTGACAGTTTCCCTTATTGCAATTTTTATTTGTTTTTATTTACTACCTTACTTGCTATAAGCTTACAATAGTTTAAGAACCTTATTCTAAGACACTTATTTTCTATTATTTTACATATGTTATCTTTTTCTATTTTAGTTTCTAGTTCTATTTCTACGTTATTTCTTTCTTTGCAATAGATGGGACATTCTGTAATGATGTGCATTATACTTTCTTTCATCATTGGATCACAGGGACATGATGGGCTCTCCTTGCATTTGAATCGATGCAAGTATTCCGAGAACCCGCCATGTCCTGTCATAACTTGCACCATTAACGGGTCTATATTCAATTTCCTTACTATAAGATAGGCGTTTATTGCGTTGGGGAAATAAATTTTAGTTATAGAAGCCGTTTCGCCTTCTATGTAGCGTTGATTCCATTCATCAAGTGAGTCAAGACGAATCCGTCTTTTGATTAATGAAATCGGGCACTTGTCATATTCGGGTTTTCTTTTTATTTTTAACGCGGCGTCTTTTGCTAATTGATCTGCTCTCTCATTTCCCTCCAATCCAGCGTGTGCCTTTATCCAAAATAGTTTAATTAATTTGCCTTGTTTTTGTATTTCTAAAATATTTTTCCTAGTATTTACTGCTAGGGGATGGAGGGAAACGCTCTGGACAATTGTCTGGAGAGCAGATCTGGAGTCGCTATAAATATTGCAACTCGTTGCCTGGTCGTTGAGTACGTGATTTGTTGCCTCGAATATGGCCAGCAACTCCGCCTGGTAGACCGTGCAGAAATTTTCCAACTTTATTTTTCGGGTACTTGTCTCCGCTGCGCCATTCCAAATAGATAGCGCTGCGCCAACTTTCCCCTCGATCTTGCTGCCATCTGTGTATATTTTTAGTTCTTTATTGTCGTTTTGGTCAATTTGTGCACGGTCCTCCAGGCATATAAATTGCAGCCCAACTTGATTTGCGGGGTGAGGCGTTTTACCGAAATCTGTCTTCCTTTCCACATCTCGATCCCCTACCACTCGCTGGGAGAAGCCTTTCTTTATTTCATAAAGCAAGGCTACTTCCCGAACCCTTAAGTCCAAAGGAAGCAGCCCAGCGAGTAGTAGTGCCGAGTGTAAAGATACAGTTCGATAAGACTTTATTATTTTCTGAACAAACCCGCGTTGTGCCGCGTCGAGCTGTTTTCTAATTTTCTTCTTGTATGTTGCCTGTGCCCATGCACTTGCCGCGTACATAATGATCGGCTCCGTCACTGCAACGTAAATGGTCCTGATGATCTCGGGGTTCAAGCCCCAACTGATCTTTGCTGCTCTTTATAGTTGGCCATACAGGTTTTGTACCTTGCAGCACACATTTCTTACATGTGCGTTGAAGGTTAACCTATCGTCCAAAGTGAGTCCAAGTATTTTAATTTCCCTAGACAACGCAATGTCCTCTCCTCCCATTTTCAGAAGTGGTGAATCGTACTTTATCTTATTTGTGATCACCATAGCTTTTGTTTTATGCGGCGCAAATTTAAGCTTATTTCTGACTCCCCACTTCTGAACATATGCGAGAACTGCGTTGGCTCGATCCTGCACATCTGATGCTCGTTCCCCGCAGAACATCAGGACCACGTCGTCTGCGAATGCCTGGCAGTATTCCCCTTTGTCGCTTAGCTCCTTTAATAGTGGGTCGAGCAACAAATTCCAGTAAATAGGACCCCCTATTGAGCCTTGCACACATCCCAGCGTTTCATAACTTAGTGCATTTTGTGAAGTGAATCTAATTATCAGAGTGTTAAGGTCTGTATATCAATCGAAGAATTGTTTTAATTAATTTAAATGCAAGCGAGCAAGTTGAAATTTGAATGTTGTCGTCGACAACAAAGTTCTACTGAGTCAATTTTATGTGCAGTATGCAAAAAGAAATATCATTTCGCCTGCGTTAATAATACAGATATAACTTTTAGTGAGCTAACGGAAGAATATAAAGTGTCATGGCAATGTCCTGTGTGTCAAAGTAGGCAGCCCAGATCTGACAATAGTAACACTCCTGTACGTGTTTCGAGCGGGCAAGAGCCTCGTTCCTCGAGAGAACCGTCGCAAAGCATCAATATAATAGGGAAAAAGGACATCTTTCAGAGGGATAAGGTGTCTCAAGGATTCACTCTGGAGGACATCCGTTCTATAGTGAGAGAAGAAATCGGCACCGCCTTGTGCAATTCTAACCAAAAACTTACTGAAAAAATTAACGCAAATTCAAAAGAATTACATGAGGAACTTCAAACCGTTCGTGATTCCATGCACTTCATGCAGCAAAAATACGAGGAGTTGTGTAAGGAGTTGTCATTAAAGACGGACAAGATTCGTTCTTTGGACTTAGAGAATAAAACTCTTAAGCAAGCTGTAAATGACCTGACCTCTAGGTTATCACAGCAAGAACAATATTCAAGAGCCTCCAACGCTGAAATTCAATGCGTACCAGAGCATAAGGGCGAAAACCTATATACTGTGATAAAGCAAATAATATCTACAGTCGATAGCAACATCAACGAAAAAGATATACACTTATGCACGAGAATCGCCAAACTTCACAAAGATAATCCACGCCCAAGATCAATTTTGGTGCGTTTTAGTTCACCCCGAATGCGTGACGAGTTTTTGGCTGCTGCTATAACATTTAACAGGAAGGCACCCACGATTGGTGACAGGCTTAACACAAGTCACCTCGGGATTGCGGGTGATAAAAAACCTATATACGTTGTCAAACACCTCTCGCCAACTATCAAAGCGCTTCATGCAGCAGACCGAAAAAAAGCCAAGGAGCTTAACTATAAGTTTGTCTGGGTGAAGGGTGGACAGGTGTACATGCGGAAAACTCCGGACTCAGAATACAAATTTATCCGTAACTCCGATGTACTGGCGAAATTAACCCAATAGTGTGTTTTTATATCTCTCAGTTGTTGTCGTATATATTACATTTAATTTTTATTATTTAATATTTTTTTTAATTAGTTTATTTTGGTTACATTCCTATTTTAATTTTTTTTATATCTTTATTTGTAAGCTTTAAGTTATATGTCAACATCTATTAGTTGCTATTATCAAAATGTGAGAGGTCTTAGATCCAAAATAACAGAGGTGCGTCAAGAAATACTTAATAGTCATTACGACATTTTTATTTTCACAGAAACTTGGTTAAATTCCAGCGTTGCTGACAACGAGATATTTGGTGACAAATTTAATATTTTTTGGCGTGACCGTGAAAGTTCTACTCTTCAAAATAACAAAAAAACAGGTGGTGGGGTATTAGTAGCAGTTTCAAAAAAGTATGTATCTAAGCGTGAGCATAACTTAGAAAGTGAGTGCGAAGATATTTGGATTACTATCAATATTTCTTCTAACAAAAAATGCACTGATAAGATAAGATTGTGTGCGGTATACCTACCTCCACCAATAACGCAGAAAAGCTTAAATAGTTTTCTTGATAACACTAGCAGTCCTTGAAAACCCTTGTCAGCATACGATTATATGCGGAGATTTTAATCTGAGCGGAATATCGTGGACAGTATCAGACGAGGTATCTTATTTACACTCCTCTACCTTTGAAACATGTAATTTAAAATCAAGCTTTATCGATTTTTTGGCTTTAAACAATTTAAAACAGTTTAACCCAATAACTAACAATAAAAATAAAATCTTAGACCTAATTTTGTGTGACAATGAAATAATAACAGTAAATAAAAGTCCCTATCCTGTCCGCGATATAGATGCGTTACACCCTCCGCTTGAACTTTCTTTAAGAATAATAGCTTTGCAGTGTGCAAAAAACTTGTCAAAAAGCGAATTTAACTTTTATAAAGCAGATTATGGTGCAATAATAAAATCTCTCGATGAGGTAAACTGGGTAGATGAACTGAACCCTTTCAGCAACGTAAATATAATGTTAGAAAAGTTTTACGCTATACTACAAAAAATAATAAAAGATTATGTACCCAAGACACGTAAACGTAATTCGAACTATCCAGTGTGGTTTCCTCCTAGCTTAATTCGCTTATTAAAACTGAAATATAAATACCATACCAAATTTAAAAAATACAACAATCCGCTAGACCAAATTGAATTTCAATATATAAGAAAAGATGTGAATCGTATAATAAGTAAGTGCTACATAAAATATGTTACAATTATTGAAGACAAAATATCAAAAAATCCCAAATATTTCTGGGCGCATGCGAAAATATTCTTCTTCATTTCCTCTTATCATGACGCTTGGCAACGAGAAAGCATACAACACAAAAGAAACTTGCGATTTATTCGCAAAATACTTTTCTTCAATTTACGTAAAAAGTAACAGCGATGACGACCACCCACAAATACCAACTTCCCCTGAACTACCAGAAATGGAGAACTTCCAAATAACATTTAAAGCAATAATTAAAAAATTAAAAAGACTTGACTGTACTAAAGGAAAGGGACCGGACAATATCCCACCAATATTTTTTAACAAATGTGCACGTTCCTTAGCTGAACCTCTTTCTACCATTTTCAACACTTCTTTGACAACTGGCATATTTCCCTCAAAATGGAAAGAAGCAAGGATTGTTCCTATTTTCAAAGCTGGCAATAAAGAACTAATCTGCAACTATCGTCCAATCTCAATCCTTTCGACTCTGTCGAAGACCTTTGAGGCACTAGTATATCCTCACCTGTACAATCATATCAAGCATATTATTAGTCACAATCAACATGGTTTCGTAACAAAACGATCTACTAATACAAATCTTATAGATCATGTTTCTAATCTAGCAGAAGCAGTTGATAATGGCTTGCAAATAGACAGCATATACACTGATTTTGCAAAGGCCTTCGATAGTTTCGATCACCAAACCCTATTACGTAAATTGAAATCATTTGGTATAACAAAACCTTTTTTTGTTTGGTGTGAATCATACCTAGAGGCACGCACACTTAAAGTCGGATGTATTGGATGGCAATGAATCTTATTCATTTACAGCCTTATCAGGAGTACCACAAGGATCACACCTGGGGCCATTATTTTTTACTCTTTTCCTTAATGATATCACATCATCCTTGAAGAACTCGACAGCCCTCTTATATGCTGATGATTTAAAATTGTCTCGGGCTATTAGAACCAAAAAGGATGAAGAACTGTTGCAGAAAGACCTTAATAGCCTAGTTACGTGGTGCGTACACAATAAAATGACACTTAATCCATCCAAATGTCGGTATATCAATTTCACTCGAAGAAGAAACAAACACCAATCAGTGTATAGCATCCAGGGCGAAAAGTTGACCGAAGTGGGAGAGATTCGAGACTTAGGAGTCACGCTAGATAGTCGCTTTAGCTTCGTACCCCATATAAACAACACCTTAATTGCAGTCAAAAAGCACTCGGTTTTGTCATAAGAAGTGGCAAGGAGTTCAAGAAAACCGGAACAATCATAACAATGTACAATTGCCTAGTAAGAAGTAAGCTAGAATACTGTAGTACAGTATGGTCACCTTATTACAATACTCACATACAGCGAATAGAACGTTTACAGAAACGATTAACCAGACATTTAGCATATCGAAGTCAGTTACCGCGCTGGACATCTTATACACAAAGGCTTAAGATTTTTAATATGCATTCCTTAGAATTAAGACGATCACTGTTAGATATGACATTCTTATATAAACTATTTAATAATGCTATAGACTGCCCAAATCTGCTTAATAAATTTTCCATAAAGGTACCCACACGGCTACCTCGTCATCCAATCGGAATACTTAAAGTACGTAAACATAAAAGTAATCTAGGAAAAAATTCACCAATTTCCCGTTTGACACGTACCTATAATATAAAATCAACTGATGACACAGATCTCGACATTTTTAATGACACCTTACATAATTATAGGAGAAAAATTATTATCAGTGAGTGATGCACCTCTGTTATGTATTTTATTTATTTATGTTATAAATATTGGCCCTTTTCTTTAATATCTTTAATTTTTGTACTTTTTTTTTCATTAAATTTAAGCATGTTGTGACAACCTCACATGAATCATCATGTGACCCTTCATTTACTACTCTTGCTGCCTCTCTTATCTGCCTGTGTCCTGGATCATCTTCCCGAACATCATCATCCGGATAGAATGTCTCAGCCAGAGTCTTTGCTGATTCTTCATTTCCCATGATTTTCCCATTCAGGGCAAGAGGAACGTCCTCCTGCCTCTGTGTTGTACGGCCTATCACTCTATAAATACTATCCCACATTGACTCTCGTTCTTGTCTACTGCAAAAGTCCTTCCAGCTGGAAGTTTAAGCCCTTTTAACTTCCTGATGGTACTCGTTCTTTGCATTGAGGTACTGCTCCACAACCCACTCTCGACGAATTGGTGCCGCGTATGATATACGACGCTTTAGTCTAGAGACTTCCTTCTTGAGCTTTGTTAACTCCTCGGTCCACCAGGGCAACCCCATACGTTTTTTGTTTTTTAATTTGGGTAAATGTTTTTCACATACTTCGATTATTGCATTTGTCATGTCTACTATTTTTTTTTTGTTTCTAGTTCTTTTCTGGTTTCTATCTTATCTATTTCTGTTTTGTTGATTGATTTTCTACACCAAATATGGAGAAGTTTCTCACGAAACTCACTCCAGTTTGTCTTTTTTAGTATTAAATTTTCTTGTTGTTCTATCTATGTCAGTGCCAATTGATTTTTCTAAGTTGATGTCGAATAGTATTGCCCTGTGGTCCGAACCAGTTATCTCTTCAGATAGCCTCCAGTTTTCTACCCTCCCTAGCAGGCTCGTCGAACAGGTAGTTATGTCCACACAGCTGGTAAACCTTCTCCCACCTCTGATGGTGTCAAAGGTGGGATCAGTTCCCCTGTTGAGTACGTGAAGCTCCAATTCGTCGAGCCTAGCAGCCACCTCAATTCCTCTACTATCTGTCTCTCGGCTTCCCCACCAGGTGTTCCATGCGTTCACGTCTCCACCAAATATCATGTTTACAGTCCCCAAAGCTTCCACGGCCTTTTCGATCGCGTCCAGGTATGGGACGATTGGTTTGTTGCACTCCAGATAGGCAGACACCACTCCCATCTCCTAGGTCCCAGTCCTCAACTTGGCGACTGCTATGTTTTTCCGTTGTTAGATCAGGACACTGGGTTATGTTAATGGTGTCGTCGAACAATACAATGGCTGCCTTGATCACCTTTTCGGTGTTGGGTTCTCGGTGACATTGTATTATTCGTGTCCCTGGGTACTTCTTCATCTCCCCAATACGACCTATGTAGGGTTCCTGGACTAGGGCGAACGATATCTTTTTTCCAAGTTGCCTCTGTGATCATTTCGGCCGTAGCTAACTCGCTTCTTTGGAGGTTTACCTGTATCGCGTGATATCGGTGGTTGCCGTTGTAGAGGTTTCGGTTAGACCTTGAGACCACCTTAGCAATAAGCTACGGTGGATCGTGCCAAGGCTTCCCATTTCCTTCTCACCGGGCATTCTGGACTGAACGCATTGTGGTCTTTAATATCCCTTCTTGCCTTTATGCAATTTCTGCATGATGGTTTTTCTTCGGAGCGCCAGTCAGCGCATTCTGTCCTAAGGTGTGGGCCTCCACAGTGACTGCAGACCTCTGTAGTCTCATTGCATAGGCGCTTGGTGTGTCCATATCCCAAGCACCGTGAGCATTGGACAAGTGGGGATTGGTCTGCCACCCTCACACGTTGGAGATCCACGTGAATCACTTCAGCTTCTATGAGGCGAGTCCATAGCTGGGGCGAGACTTTCAGTACAATGTGGGATGTATGCGGATTCCTGGAGTTTTTCTTATATTTTATCTCTATTCTATCCTCATTGTCTTTCAAATCTTTAAGAAGTTGTTTATTTTGAACTCTAATTGCTTTAATTATTTCATCGTCTGAATTGTATTGTAGGTTAGGTTAGGTTAGGTTCCCCCCCGAACGGGTTCCCGCCTTGTCGTGGCGGGGGGGCTTAGTAGCCGTGGCTTGGTCAACCGCGGTGAACGAAGAGGAACCCCTTGGCTGGCCCGAGGTGTAGGGTCGGATCGAGGTGGCCACTCCGAGTGGGCTTGGGAAGCCCACTTCGGATGTGTGTTGGTGGGCTGCGGTGAGAGGGGAGTCCGCAACCTCTACCGCTGCAGCGAGGTGGAGTCGCGGAGGAAGAGGAGTGTTGGTATGGCGATGCGCCACTCGCCCTATCCTCCGCGACTCAAACGGGGCCGCACCGTTGATGCGGTGGTGGTGGGGCCGCGGGGGGAGAGGAGTGTTGGTATTGCGAGGCGCCGCTCTCCCTACCCTCCGCGGCCGAAACTTGGTTGGCGGCGGAGCCCGAGACCAGATCCGCCGCTGGGGCCAGGAAGGCTGGTGCTTCTGAGTGCTAGTTTTTCCTGGCCCCATGGCCTTCGCGCATCGGACATGGGGGCGTCCGTTGCGCATTAGAAATTGGAGGCCGAGGAGGAGGGCGCACCATGTGTTCTGGTGCGCCTTACCTGAGAAGGAGATGGGGGAGGAGTGTTCCTCTCCCGAGGAGGGGCCGCCATGGGGCGGCCAGCGCAGGTGGGGCCGCGGAAGTGTGCGAAAGCGTTCCCGTGGGCCTGCCAATATGCGACGAGTGTGGAACACCATGGGGTTTTAGTCGGTGCGAGTCCGACATAACCCGTCCTTGCCCCCGTGAGGCGGGTATGCGTAGGCATTTCCCCATGTAAAAAAAAAAAAAAAAAAAAGGTTAGGTTAGGTTAGATTAGGTTAGGTTAGGTTAGGTTAGGTTCCCGTGTGGAGTTGCCAGAGCTCCCATCGGGCGCGTCCCCAGGTGGCGGATAGGGGAACGCCACTCAGATATGGGTGGTAGCGGGAAACCGTCGCGGACCAAAACTGGCCGGGTGAGGGCTTTTTTGCATAGCGGAGGGCCTATTAGTTGCTTCCTGTATCCTCTCCCTTGAGAGGAACAGAGAATGTGACATGCGCGGTGAGGTGCCAGGTGCACTCGGCTTTTGCCGACGCCGGGCAACCCGTAATCGCGGGATTTTCAGGGACCACACCCTGTAAAAAAGGAAACTGAATGGGCTCAGTGTTCCCTAACCCGGTCTCTGGGCAGGCATGAGAAGAACCCGTATCGACTCTGCCACCATTCGAACCTCGGAATCCCTCTGGCGTGTCGTGGATCACGTCTCGCGGCGCCTTAGGAGCCGAGGGCTCTTGGCTTAACCGCCTGGAGTCGCGAGGATGATAACCTCTTTAAAAAATCACCCGAAGCTCAAGCGTGGCACGCCGTGAGGAGCTGCATGGCTGATGGGTAAATGTTCAGTCGTTAGCGTTGCCCCCGTCGGGGTACCGGCCGACACCCTTGACGGGTTACGCATAGGCTTATCCGGGCACAGGAGGCACTGCTCGGATGGACTGCTATTTCCTCCACACTCGTGGGATAAAACATGAAAAAATATAAAAACTTTGAAAACGTAGAGATTGAAAAGGAGACAGTATCAGATACTGGAAGCGGTGGAAATCGGTCGCGTGGGACGTCTTCCGCTAGGAAACGTCCAGTGTGCCGGTCTTCGGAAGAGGAAGGCCTGCCGGCTCCCAAGTTGCCGACTTCGGGGAGGGGTCGGCAGGCATCGAGAGGGGCGAGTGCTTCGCAGCCGCGGAGGGATAAGCACGGACGATTCGTGTGCTCCAATACCTCGGTGGCTAGTGAAGCAGAGAGCGACATGGGGTTCACTGCGGAGGACCCTGGCGATGGCGGTGAAAGCTGTGCCTCGCTGGGGAGTTCAAAGGCGGAGCTCAACGCCGCCAAGAGGGAGCAGCGTAAAGCCGTCGCGGCCGACGAAGTGTCGGAAATGGCCCGACGTGCTCGCGAGCGACGAGCTGCTCTTGCGGCGGAAGGGGGAGAGCCATCTGCGGTGGCCTTAAGCCAGTTGGCTTTGGATGGGGTGGACTTAGTCCTGAAGGTTGCCACCAAGTCTGGCAG